CAATATGAGACATTGGAACTATTCCGATAATTGTATAAAATAATTTACAAAATTCATCTTTGAAAATTTTTTTAATTATTTAATTTATCCATTTATAGAGCATAAGCATTAGTTGTAGATTTTGGAAGATACTTAGTTGAGATTGCAGCAACTTCAGGATCTAAATAATCAATTTTAAGAAATAGCAAATCCTTTGCTTCTTGTGATCCAATTATAATTTGTAAGATTAGAATTATCTTATACCAATATATCATGAATTTTATTTAATCTTATTAAAGTCAGTTTTTAAGTTAAATTTTGATATCTTCTAAATATTCTTCAGGAGGCAAATTATGGATATTTAAATATGGCGATTAATAGGAGGTTTAATAATAACTCTATATTTAATATAAATGTAATTTATCTATTAGTTATTATATTTTCTCCATAGTTAAGAGCATTAACAAGTATTCAGAACATGCATTTAAACTAAATGCTATCATTCCTTTAATGATCTGTTTTAATTAAATTTTATTTTCAACAATAACTTAGTTTAACTTAGAATCTTCTAAGAATTTGAAATGATTAAAATCTATATTTATTTATATCAGTTTATATGCAAAATAATTTTGTTCTTTTAAAATTTTAATTTTTTTTTATAAATGGACTTCAATAATTTATTGATAAACTTGGTTCTGCTTCAATTTAGAAATTGAAATAATCTCAATTTCTTTTATAAAAAGGGCAAACACATCTTAATCATGCATATGATCTACTATATAGTTAATGATCAAGTGATTGTTTAAATTACGAAGGATGTTTCTGAAAAAATAATTTTAATTTATTTCTGGCTTATTGAATCAAATTACAGTTTGTAAATATATGTCTATCTCATGATTAGCAATAAAAAGAGTGTTTTTAAATATTTAGTGTGAATATTATCAAGGTTTATTTTTAAATATGGATTAAGGTCTTACGGAAGAGATTTATATTTTGTAAAATTAAAATTTTTTAATAAGATACTTTTTAATGAACAACATAACCGTGTACTGTCTGAGCAATTGCTTTATTAATATTGATTCTGATAAGCAATTTCTGATAAATTGTAAATTTTATAGTTCTTAAAATTGTTGTTGGGTTTGTATATTTATTTTAAATGTTCTACTATTTCAACTACTCAAACTTTAGCTTTTTTTTTAATCTTGGTTTATTTTTTTATGGTCTTATAAAATGAAATTCTTAAAATTAGTTAATAAGCTAACTTCTGTACAAACACTGCTATATTTTTATTTATTCCTTGATAATGGCCTTTCTAAATCTTAGGAAAAACAATGTAAATTAATTTAGAGCAATAATTCTTAATACATTGGTAAAGCAATTTTTCTTTTTAATGAATGATAAATAATAAGATATTTTGACTGTTATTAATTTTATTCTATTAAATAATATTTTTATCAAATGGGAATTTGCGCTAGCTAAACTAAGAATTAAGTACCTGCTTATGAGCACCAGAAGGAGAATACAAACCATTCATTTTTGATACAACAATCTTTCCTTTAAAGCAAATATAAACTTTTTATAAGTAAACAAATACAATTGCTAATCAGATTCTTCTCTAACACACTAACAACATTTATACTTTGACAAATTATGATCAAGCTCTTGAAAAAATGTATAACATTAATCACTAATAAGGCAAAAAAAATAATTATCTACTCTTGAGGATACAAAATTTTCTCCTAATTGGAGAAGCCTTTCATTAGATCCTTATTTTAAGAAAGTATGAAACTTTTTTTTGAAAAGACCTGAACAATTTTTATAAAGAGGATAAATTAGATTGTTTTGATGTAAAATATGTTCATATTATCATTAGACATTCAATCCTGTTGATATCAAATAAGGTGAGCTAGGAGATTGTTATTTTTTAAGTTCATCGAATATATTGGCTGAAGTACATTAATAAATATAAAAATTATTCAGACATTAAGAATATTAATCAAATGGTATATATTCCATGTCATATGTAGGGAGGTCCAATATTTTCAAGAGCCAATGGAAATAACCTTTGATGGTACTTTTAGAAAAAGTTTATGCGAAAATATATGGATCTTACCATAAAATAGAATCAGGTTTGGCAAGTTATGCATTAAAGGATTTAACTGGAGCACCAAGTGAATTATTTATGAGATTAGGGGAAATGATGAAAATGGCTGATTAATGTTGGGATTTCATTGAGAAAAATAATAAATTAAAATACATATTGGCAGTATCTTCAGAAATAACTAATTAATAAATTGAAAAAGATAATGGAAATAGAATAGTATCTTAGCATAGCTTTAAAATTTTAGATGCCTAAAGAGTTATTGGGAGTGATGGACACTAAGATAGAATTATTAAGATGAAAAATGTAAAAATATATAATAAATTTGTATAGTTTTAGGGTAGAAATAATATGACAAGAGACTGGAGTTATAATTCTGAGAAATGGACAGATGAATTAAAATAGAGATTGCAATTTTCTTATTAAGATAATGGAGATTTCTGGATGAGTGTTAAAGATTTTATGACTGAGTTCGGTTAAGTTTGTGTTTGCAAATTTAAACCAGATTATTTATACAAAGCCATACCTCATTAGGTTGAAAAATCAGACATTATTACTACATAGGTGATATTAATGAGAGTTTATGAGCAATCTCATGCATTTATTTCTTTAACTCAATAAGATAAGCGCTTTTTCTAAAAAGGTCATTAATACTTTTGGCTAGATTGATAATAGGATAATTAGACTATAGTACAATGGAGATATTACATTATTCAGGTTCAGTTTATGATGATGAAAGGGATATGGTTGTTGAAAATGAATTTGAACCTGGATTTTAATTATTGTATGTTGAAGTAGATTGGTCCTAGCACTGTAATCGATATTTAACAGTTTCTTGTTATGGTTCTAAATCAGTTTAATTTTCTGAATTGTAATTTGAACCAAGTCAAACAAAACAAATAATTGATAATATTTTTAATGGATTTTTAAGAGTGGTTTTTGAAATATTACCTGGACAATCAAAACTGATTTAATTACAATCAATTGATCCAACTAAAGGATACTCATTTAAATAATATATATCCTCTATCTTTAAATGAAAAATAATATGGGATGCATGCAAATCATAAATATTAATTTATTATTATATATTATATGGATCAAGTTCAACCAGCTTAAAAAAATTCCTCAGAAAAATAAAATAACAAAAATCTAATCAAAATCATTTATAATTTAATAAATTCCTGAAAACAAAGAATTCAGCCAAGCAAATCAATAATAAATTATATAAAATTCAAATATCAATTTTTTTTATAAATTTTTAATAAATCTTAAGCATAAATAGAATCCAAATAATTATCATATTATCAGAGAGATTCAAAATTAAATTTCTCTATAAATCTATTTGGTTAGCATTAATTTCATAAATGGCTTTTAAGTGTGTCCTAATACTAAATTTAAAATTATTTCATATAACTTTTCAAGATCAAATTTTATACCTAAAACATTTTACTTAATCCATTTGTTAATAAAGCAATATAATTGTTAGTAATTGTCAAATCATACAATTGGTTAATTGATGCTAAATCAAAATTATTCTTGTCTAATTTGGTGATATTAATCATTTATCCATTGTATTTCTTTAAGGAGTTAGTCATGTTTCCAAAGTTATTGAAAGTAATCCAGCAGATTATGTCAATATAAAATTGAAAAGAAAAAATATAGATATCATCTATTGAGTTTTTATGTTATTCAATTATCATTTAATTTAATACAACCAAATAATAAGAAGTTATGATGTCCTAGTATTGTATTTCTATTACTCTCAATTATTTTGTCTCAAATAATAAAATAATGGATAATTATAGTTTTTGTAATCATGAACTTTAAAATTAATTAGATATCTTGTATTACATAATTATGGTTCATATCAATTTTAATATTATTTAAAAATCATTCTCATATTAATTATTAAAAATAAGTTTTAATACATAAAATTTACTTAAAAACCTAGATTTAATTTGGTTAATAGCTGGTTTGAAATAAATTGAAACAATGATATGAATATTTTTAATAAATAATTTCATGCTTATTGAGTTTATAATTTCGAGTTCATCTAGGAAAACTTTTAATAGATAAATTTAATGCTAATTTGATTACTATCATTCACAATTCAAATTACAGATCATACTGATGAGGCATTATAAGTTGTTTAAATGAAGTAATTTTATATAAATTGTTGGTTACCATAATCTATCATAAATTATTGAAAGCTGTCTCACTGATGGGAGTTTATTTGAAAAATAGATTTTACATTTAAAAAGATTTTATTATATCTAATAACATTGTACCAAATGCATGCATAAATATAATAAGTCAAATTAGTATATCATCTAGCATTGATAGTAAATATGATATTAATTAATATTATGATTGAATATAACTACATTTTATAAAATTTGATTCATCTTGAGCAGAATTTAAATATGACTTTACTTAATGTGCATCATATATTTCATTAAAGTACTTAATAAATAATAAATGCCTTAATTGCTAATTAATATTAATACATATTAAAGGTTATTAGACTTGAAAATATAAATTAATTGCCTAATGAAACATTAACTTTAGTAAGCTGGAATACCTCCTCCTTTATCTAACCACTATACTGAGTAAAAAAAATCACTCCACAATATATGTCTCTAAGTATCAAGATAATAGATTAAATCAAAACCTGCTTATAATGAAGAGTATTAAGGCGTTTGAATTAATGTTGGATCCACAAAAAAATCACTGCTAGAGATTTATCCCACCTTTTGCCGACCTTTAAAGAAGGGTTAAAATTAATCTAGTGTGTTATGTAATCATTTATGTTATATCAAAATTAAATTTAAGAAAGCCTTAACTCAATGATCATTTTATGTAAAGATATTAATGATAATAAATTTAAGTTTGACGGGTTCAACAACTTAATAATGGGCAATTCATTTAATTACAGAAGATTAGTTTTGAAACAAATTAGGCAGTCTAGAACGCTTAGCTGCAATTTTTGAGATTTTTTTTATTCTAATTTTTATCAGCCTATATTTCCTTACCAAATTCTTAGAAAAAATCAAAGGTTGATCAAATTTTCAATTTTAAAACAAAAGGACTTTTAGATAAACTTACTATATAGAGATTAAGCTATTTTAAGAATTTTTGATGGTAATTCAAATGCCTATAAATTCTAATGCTTCAAATGCAGATAAAATTGTTTATAATCTTTTAAGACTAAAAATTGCCGAGATCAGAATTCCAAATTATGAAAATTAGAAAGTATTAAATTATTAATAGATTAAACCCATAACTACTACCTCATTAAATGCTCTTATTTCATTAGTATTTTGTGTTCCTTGCAAAATCGTATAGATAATTTAAATAACTCTCGAATGTTTTTAGGTATATTCAACAATTTTTTTGCTCTTTTTATTTAATTGGGTTATTGAAAGATTATTTCTTAAGTTTAGACATCCTCTATTCTCTTTCTTTTAGATGTCTTTTCTTAAGTTTAATTAAAATAATAATCAATTATATCTATCATCTTTTAAAGGATTGGATCGAGAAACTTATCAAGAGATATCCTTCGAAAGAATAATTTGATGCTCTATGTTTCCACAATTTTTAATATTGTGCTTGGTCTATTTCTTTTGCAACCTATAAATGAGGTCTCGTATAAATTGACTCAATGGTTATGTTATTTCTCCATTTTAGTCGATACTTAAATATTTAAATTTCAGACTACTGGAATCACAATAAATGTCAAGTATCTACCAAACCTTATAATTTTTCTAATATGTTGATGACATTATCATTTATTTATTTTTGGCAGGTTATTAAATCATTTTTAAGTAATTTCACAGCATTTTTCTTCATTCTAGATGGTAATATTATTTAATTGCATACAACATATGGTAATTCCAAATAAAATAAAATATCAGCAATCATAAAAAATGAACTATATGTATAACATTAATTGAATCAACCTTAACAAATATTCCCTTAAAATATAAATTTAAAAATTAAATCTACCTTTGTTTATATAATTAGATTATATTAATATAAATTGGTGTCTTCTTATTGTACATACATATTCACAAATTAAAAGAATTTAGATTGGATATCTATTTTAATTGCCATCAATATTTAATTTCAGTGTAATCATTTTTTGATTATATTCCAATGTAGGATTAGTTTGAGTTTTGATTTATTAATTCTAAACATTTATTAATTTATCTAAGACTTCAAACATGTTGAAACTGTTCCAGTAGGCTGATTTGGTCTCTGGATCTAATTCCATTCTCCAATTTTATTTTAGAATACCATTCTAGATTAAATTTAATGATATAAATATATCCTAAGTGATTTGTATTTTATATACTAGCATATTTTATATTTTTATTGTTTAATTTATTCCATTTAGTACTTAATTGATTCAATGTGATTTTATTAGAAATGATATAAAAGACAAGGATTAATGTTAAGAATCAAATGGAAAATATGTTCAATAATATTAATAATAATCTTAGAAAAATAAATATAATTCTATTATAATAAATAACATAAAATTCTTCCTAAATCTTTATCTAAAATCATAGCTACTTTATTGAATTTCTTAAAATCAAATATCTTTTCAAAATTCTTCTCTTTTATCTTTAAAAACTAAATTTGTTAATATGTTTTATCTATTTTAAAAAGAAATTTTAGTATAAATAATAGCAAAGAAAAAAGAAACTAAAAACTAATCGGATTCACATAAATACATTAGTCATATATAATTACATTCACCAGATAAATACTTAATCAAAGGACATGTAAGGTAAATTTATTAAAGTCACAATAATTAAATATATTAATGTTTAATTTGATGATTATATCCAAAATTCTGATATTTCGTTTTTATTTAATAAAACAGATACATTAAAAGATAAATAATTATTATTGATATCAAATCAAGAATAATTATTTATATTTATATTTATTCTTTTTTATTTTAGTTTATTAACCCCTATATAATTGAAATTCTTTGAATGCAATATCTAACTGGTATTCTATGCACTTGATTCATTAAATCTCCTAAAATAAACAAATCAACTTCTGAGTAACTCTGAATGATTATCTTATTAGTTATGATTTTTTTGGTTGCATTTTTAAAAATAAAATTTTTAAATATTACAAACTTTCTTTTTATATTATCTTCTTAAAAGCTTAACCAGTAATAAAAAATAACATAAAAATTACAAATTAAATTCCACTATTTCTGCAGTTTAACAAGTTGGCTCTTAATTACAAAAAGTATTATTCTAAGAAAATTTACCATATTGATAATTATCAAAGTTGTATATTGGTATTTAATTTAAATTTAAGATAGAATTGATTATATTATTATTTTGTAATAATAATAAAAGATGAAATAAATAAAGATTAATTGTAATAATAATACACATTATGAACTTTCCAAATTGATTAAGATTACAAGATATGAATGAAAATATAGATTTCATATCCAGGAGAGCTTGTTATTAATCTTTAATGGCCCATTTTTGCTATTTCCTAAATACTCACTGCATAAATAATAAGTAGATAAATGTTATGCTTAATGAATATTGAAAAAGCTGTTAAACACTCAAATTAAAGTACTCTTCCACCTCCTTCAGCAACTAATTTTTATGGATTATGTGATTACAATCTCTTTCCTTTGTAAAAATATTATTTAACTAATCACTATATTTTATTTGAGCATAATCTTAGTGAACCATCAACCAATAATTATGGTTGTATTATTTTTACTGATTAATTTTCATATATGAATATCGAAAGAACCTCCACCTAATCACATTATAGATTTCAAGACACCTTTCCAAATTCTCTCACTAATATATTAACTTAACTATTACCTAATTCTAATAGAGATTTTTAATAAATAACCATATGGATAAAAATCAAACATAAATCCAGTTTAAATTTATTAAGAATATATAATAATTTCAATATGAATCCTCTATAAAATCCAATACTTAGAACAATGTTTTTATTAATATGAACAAATTCTAGTTTTCTTGCATTCCTAAATAAAAAATTTAATTAATACTTTTAATGAAATTTTTAAATTTGTATTTTATTACATGATCATACCATTATTAATTATTCCTATTTAATTACCAATTACTGTTGTATTATGTAATATTCAAAAAGTATTACTATATGCAAATTAGCGTATAGATATTTATATACACATTTATAACTTGAAACTTAAAAGAAAGTAATCAAACGAGTTTGTTATTATGAAACATAAATTAATTGTGTAATATATAAGAAAAATTCTGATCATTTCAGGTAATTAAATACAATAATGAATTAACATTAAATAACTTTTAATTTATGTATATATTACGAATTTGAATTTAATATGCATTTATTTTAACACCACAATAATTTGTAAAAAAATTATATAAATTCTAAATAGTAGAAGAATTTTAATATATCTCTGCAACATTAGAAATAGATGTACAATTAAATTCTAATAAAGCTTAACTTTAATTATAAATCTATTCATCATCTAAATTAATTGATGAATCACTGTAACAACTTAAAAAATAAGAAGATTAAAAAAATAATATAATTAATAAAATATTAAAAATATTATTCAACTTATTTCAACTCCAGGTATATGTATCATTCAAAAAAATTGATTCCAATTAATTCTTACCATTATATATTCAACAACATTCTTTAATACCTATCTAAATTATACCAATTTAATATTAAGAAAACTATCAAAGCCACATAAAGTCCCTTCAAATTCTCTATCTGCTCTCATAAAAATAGAACTTTTCACGAAATTGCTTTAATTAAAAATATCCTTAAGATTGAATAAAATAAAAGAACCAATTATAGATTGTCTTAATAATTATAATTAAAGTATTGGATGCACAATTATTTTGAAGCGACTTTTTCATCAACCAAAATCTAATAAAATCATTTAAGAAATTTTTTTTTCTTTTTATTATGTAGAACATAAAAAACTTATCAAAGATAAATTCTTATATTTAGATGGCAATAATTTCATCTTTATTTATTGATGCATTTGAAATATTAAATTATATTACTAAATTAGATGACTTATATTCCATCTTAATCTCAAAAGATATTTGGAAATAGATTCATACTTTATTTTGTTATCTTTGTTATTTATCTTCTTTTCTATCAACATCAAATGAAATAGATACTTAAGACTACTAATTTAAAGTTAAGTTTGGGAATAAAAATTTCTGTGGAATTAATGATTAATTAGCCTATCTTAGTCTCAATTAAGCAAATTGGCCTTTAAGCTGGTTACGTAAATTTTTTTAAAATTATAAGCATAAATGTAATAAGTTTAAAATATATATGAAAATCTTAGTGAATTTAACATCGCTTATAATAATCAAATCAATTTACAATTGTTAATTTAAATTTGATTTTTAACTTAAAATATAGAATGTAAATCATTTCTTTAATATTTCTAATTAATTTAGATTTAATAAAATAAAGATGAAGATATTTTTAAAAGATATATTTAATCATATTTAAATTAATTAAATAAAGTCTATTTTTATTAATTTAGAAAATATATCCTTAATTTAGATTACTTACAAAATTAATCAACTATTATTACTCATTCTATACCATTTTTATTAAAACTATTTTACGATTAAAGAATACTGGAAGGTAATAACAATAAATTTAATTGTAGTCTAGGAATATCTAAGTTTGCAACGAATCCATTTATTGAAGTATGAATGCCTAATTAATTATGGATTCCATTTTAGAAAATTAGAATTAACTAAATTAAAAAATTGATATCTAATTCATCGATCTAATTATCGTTTCATAATAGTTTAGTCTTTAGTTAATCTTATTTAAATTTAAATGATACATTATTTTCATTACTATATCTTTATCAAAAATCGAAATAATATAATTATTATCACTCTTTATATATACTTTACATTTTAAAAACTTTAATTTAGAGTTTTTAATTAAGTGATTGAAATGAGTAAATTATAGAATAGAAGTTAAGTTGTGACACTTTTAATAAATGTGAGTTTAAATTCAATAATCGCTGTCCTAAAGGAATGAGGATAAATCTATCATTAAGTTATTTTCAATAATAAAATTGAATAATTCAATTAAGGAATGTAACTTGAAGCATTATTTCTCACCTATATTTTTCATTTTAATTATGACAGATGATTGATAAATATAGATAAGAATATTTCACAACAGTGTTCTATTAAAATTAATAATATTTTAAATTACATTTTTTATATTTTTTATTTTTCATCTTTAAAATTCAATTAGTACATAATTCTTTACAAATCCTGTTATAAATAATCTAGAATTATCAATAATAACTGTTTTTATTTTATTATATATAGTTTTTATTCTTACTAATCATGGTTTTGTATAGGAATATTCAATGCAAATACAATTAATTAAACTTTGATGTCATGAAATATAAATCAGAAAACTTAAGTATAATAAGCATATAAGAAGAAACTAAAAAAATCAGAATAAAATTCTCTCTTTTACTACCTTTAAAGAAATGAGAAATATGATTAGTAGTAATTATAAACAACCTATAAAATGTGAGATGATATGAATTTTCAGAAATTAAAAAAGAAACCTAATGGAATTTCGAAAAAATTATTAAATGAATACATCTCAAATACTTAAATTGTTTGAAATAACATTATAGGCGTTATTATGAAAAGATTATTTAAAAAGTTCAAGAAAATCTTAAAGTCATTTAATTGAAATATAAGAGGCGACAGTTAAAAAGTTATTAAATTAATATCCATAAATTCAATTTTACAACATCTGCAAATTCAAGAAAGAAAAAGATAAAAGAAACAAAGGGACAGCTTGATATGAGTAAATAAAAAATAAAAATTTACATAATAGTGATGATTAATTAAAATATATGTAGAATATTTATAATTAGAAGAATGCTCAAATTAATGTCTTTTAAAAAGTAATTAGTAGTTTAAAATAACTAAAAATAGAGTTGTTCTTAATGGAAGATTGGATCATATTATTTTATTAAATGATATTACAGAATTATAGATTTTTAATAATGTTATTAATATTTTGTATTATTGAAGGTGAAAGATAAATTAATAAATAAATATAGAAAAGCATGTATACATTCAGATTGTTTTCAATATAAACGATTGAGGAGTGATAGCTCTTATTCCTAAAAAAGGTAATAGTAAAAATATTTTTAAAGAGATAGCCAGCTCTAAAAATTGGAAATTTCATCTCTATATTTCTCAGGTTAAGAAGTAAATTGATCAAAAAGTAGCCATTTAAAAACTCAAATCTTTGCTGGACTTCAATTTAAACAATTTTAAATAGATTATAAGAAATTATACAAAAAAATTGACAAAAATTATAAAAAATAACGAAAATTTATGAAAAATCAATAAAAACAAAGGAGACTACTTTAATTGGAATTGAATCAAAATAACTAGTTAATTTAAATGGAAATTATCAGTAAGAACTGAATAAAAGAGAGAACTAAGAAAGTATTATATTTTTAATCATAAGGATTACATTCAAGAAATATTGAGATAATGGAAATTGTATAATTAAAGATAAAAATAAATTTTATGACTGCAATTTTCACATAGTAAAGAAATGAAGAATAAGACTATAGTCAAAGGTACATTTAATTATTTATTTTATAAGGATCAGAAAGATTTAAATAAGATATAGATTACGATTTTAGAAGTTTAAATTTGAAAAAGAGCATATTTTAGATTGAATAGATATTATTGAAAAAAATATCTTTTGAAAAGCAATCCCTTCCTTAGAAATAATTGTAAAATAAAAAACTTAATTAATAAAAAATTTAACTTATTGATATAAATAAACTTGAAACGTTGTGAACATCTTAGCAAATGAATATTTAGAAGTAATTGAATGTTCTTATTAACAAATAACAAAATTATTCTAATAAAGTCAAATAAGAATGAATTAAGTGGGAAAAATCTTGAAAATTTCAAATAAAAATGTTGTGTATATAATTCAAATTGAAAGTAATTCCTTTCTATATGGTAGTTTAGGATTAAAGTACTGGTAAATGCATAAGAACAACAGATAGATAGTTCATTATTATAAATATATTCATAGTTATTGAATAAATAAACAATGAAATAAAGCTTCAAAATTTAAGAATATTTTCTAAATATAAGCAATTATTAATTCTCAACTTAACTATTCTTTGAAAAAAATTACTTTTGTTAAATATTATAAAATTTTAACTCAGAATATATATTAGAATTAATTGTCAATAAGAACAGATGATTGCAAATTATTTATATTAGTTAATAACTTTCTTAATTCCTCATTTTGAAAAATGAATAAGATTAAAAAATTCATCCAGAATAGAAGGCGAAAAGATTAATATTGTAAACAATTTTACAAACTTTACACTCATAATTAATTCATCAGTGTTGAATGATTTAATTTGAGGGACTAATTGGTAAATGATTATTTTCAATAGTATTTTAATTCATGTTTTAATTTTCATCTCAAAATACCTAATTCTAATAGAGATTCTATTTCTTAATCATTCTATTTTAGTGATTGCCCTTAATTGTATTATACCTCAATCTATAGCATAATTAAAAAATCACATATTTTGATACTACAATTTTTGATGTAAAACTTCATGATAATATTATGAGAATGTTCTAAATTCAATTTGCTTTCTTAGAGGGAATGAAAAACATATAAAGTAAAGCTGTGGGGTGATTTGTTTTTTTTCTCCTAAATCTATTTTTAATACTGGCATCATTCAAAGAAGATCAAAAATACAATAAGAACAACCCATTTAATGAAATAATTAGAAGATAATTTAAGAAAATATCATTCAAAAATAAAGCAGAAATGTTGATTAAAGAGGATTAATGATTAGAAAGCCAAACTTCACAATTTATTTTTTATAATATATCTTGTTATAAAGCTGCCATAAAAAAAAATTACCAATTTATTTAATTGATATAAAGAGAATTAGAAAGAAGAAGAAGCTGAAATAAGATTAATAAGAGAAATACAATAATAAATATAAAAACAAAAAGTGAAGAAAAATCTTAATTAGAATTGAACTAGCTATTCTCAAAATTTTTAAATAAAAATAATTTGAGTATAGAATAAAAAATACTTAAATTGATTTTCTCAAGAATTACTTAGAAACTAACAAAATCAATTTACCCAAAGTTTATAGTAAAGATACACAAAAATAAAGTCATAAAAAGGTAAAAGTGTTTGTGCTGAAAGTAAAATTGGGCTCAAGTACCATCAGTTTCTATTGATCTAAACTCTTTTTGAAAATTTAAATTCTATGAAGTGTATTTTTTAAGAATTTTCTGAATTCCTATATCCTGTCTTTTTGAAGTTTTATACCGGTGTAGATTTATTATTTAAATTTTTATAAAAATGTGGAGCTTGGCTAATAAAGCACCATTCATGCTTCGTGGAGGTGGTTGTGGATCGGTTAAAATAAGTCCACACACAGATGAAAACTTAAAGTCAGATAATCAAGCCCTATACAATTTCATTACCAGATTGAATTACTTTGTTGAAACAATTTGCACAAAAGCCTCTGTAGCTGCAAATTAATCAGAATCTTAAGAAATAACTATAGCCATTCAATGGTTTATTTTTTAAGAGGAAAATATCTACAAACTTATCAAAGATGTCTAAAATGCTAAGAAATCCTATAACTTAATCTTAGATGGAATTCGTAAATTATTGAAAAGCTGTTTGATCTACATTAGAACAGATTAGTTTAAATGCTTATATATCTTATAAATTACAGCCTCTCTATCTAAAGTTATATTTTGCTTTCATATAACAAATGACTAAAGATTTATGAAATGTGAATTATAAAAGGAATTTTTAGATATTTCAGATGAATTAAAATAATAAATGGAAATAGAGAAAAATGATTTGATTCATATTTAAATGGAGCTTTACCTTTTCTTAACGAAAACTTCTTTCGAGATGGCTCCTAATAATAGTAACGAAAGGGATGATATTTTAAAAGGGTGTTTAAGTGGTATAATTGCTTCGATAATACAAATGAAACCTAATGCAGAATTACTTGAATCATTGTTCAAAGGAGCCCTTCTGGTATACAAAATGTATGCAGTTTCAAAAAATAGAAAATAATATGAAATTTACTTTTAAATAGATATGTTGTAATGGGAGATTATCAGTTATTTTAAAAATGAAAAAGAAAAAAATTTAGAAGAAATAATTGAAAAAATTCAAATAATTCATGAATAGCTTGTGAAAAATTCAATTAATTGGATGTCTCATTTGTTGTGGATTTAAATGATTGGGAAAATTTTAATATATAATCCTCTTTTAACAAAATAATAATTATATCAGCTAACTAGTTAATTCAATTTAGGAGCCAATTCAAGGTAAATGTGGAAGGAATATCAAAATAAAGGATTACTAATTTAAATGAACCATAGCAATAATTAAGCTGTCATTCTACTTCACTAGCTTTAAAATAAAGAATTACTTTAACTTGATAGAGTTATATTAGAAGATTGTTTCAAAGAATGGGAAAACTTCTTATTACTTAAAGACTACTTGTTAAATGAAAAAAATCCAAATATCTATTTCACATTTTAATCATATTTACAAAACAAATTGAAAGGAGTGAGTATAGAATCCTAAAAAGATGAAAATACTTTGATTGGAAAAATTTTGACATTTTTTGATTTCATTATTTCAAGTAAATTACTAGCTTTAATTAAAGAAAATTATGAGAAATTAGGTGTAGTAATTAAAAGTTATCGAACTTTTATGAAAAAGAATACTCACTTGACCAAGAAGATATAATAAAAAATTTAACATGTCTAAATAAATTAAATGATTCAGAACTTCAAATAATATTTACAAAATATTCAAAAAATCATTAAAATAATTAGGCTTAATTTATGGAAATAATATTTTTAGATCTAATAATTTAACTAGAAATAGATTATTCAATTCAATAATTTATAATAACTTAAATATTTGATGAAAATGTTAGAAAAACTATTAGAATTATTAATTTAAGATTTTAAGGATAGGATGAATGAATAATAAAAAAATCAATCATCAAATCAAAAAGATGAAGATGAAAGGGAAGAACTTTGGAGGTAGAAAGAATTTATTTAAGATTAATTAAGTAAACTTGAATTGGAAGTTAAAATTTAGCAACTTGATGATTTGAAGAAGAAACTTTTGTCTTTGCCAGATGCTACTCTAAACTAACCAAAATTTTTGGAAGCAGCTTAAAGTCTGATACAATTTATTGCAAATTCTTGGAAATAATTAGAAAAGGTTGAAATTTCTTTACTTAAATAAAATGATCACAATTGTTTTTTTGAGTATTATTTGAATAATCTTTATTTATACTATGAAGCTATAAATTAAGAACTAGAAAATGATTATAATGAATCCATGTCATTTATTAAGGAATTTTTTCAAATCAAGTATGATATTGAGAATCATAAAGAGATTAAAGGATTAATAAAATATCTTCTAAATTTAATATGCAAGCATCTAAAACTACATTTAAAGTTAGACACTATCAAGAAGTCTTTCATGAATATCTTACAATAGGCGAGTCTATAAGATTTACAAAAATTGTAACAATTTATCAATCTTGATGGATTCCTAATATCGATAATTAAAGATTACCCAAAAAAAAATAATTAGATCTAAATGTGATATTGTAAATGTGACTGCCTTTGAATTAAAAAACCTATAAATCACAGAATAAGATTATTAAAATAAATTATCAAAGTAAAAAGCATTGATAGAATACCTCCAATTTCGTTTCTCAATAGATAAATAAAAGATTTCTTCAGAAGAATTAGATTTAAAATTAATAGAGAAGGAATTAGGAGGATTATTTATAAACGAATCTTCTACCTAAATGATTGTGGAAAATTTTATGAAAGATCTAACTATTGATCAATTATTAAAAAATGTAATTGAGGAAAAATATAATTTATCTTAATTGGAGTTAGATAGGCGAAAATTTGAATTTTTTTTGTCAAACTTGAGAAAAATTAAAGATTGAAACTAATATTAAAACATAAATTAAATTGAAATTGAGTATTATAATTAAATAGCCAACTAAACAGAACTGTTAATTAAAACTCTCGAATCTTTTGGAAAGAAAGATAAGAAAATGTTTAAAATATTAATAAAAGAAGAGCTAATGAAATTTAAAAACTTAGTAAATAATTCTCAACATGAATAAGAAAGAGAAAACGTCCAAATGTTAGAAAAAAATGAATAGATTGCAGTTGAATAAAATGGTAAGGAATTAAATTTTTTCATTAACATAAATGATAATACCTACTTAGCTTGTATGATAAAGGTAATCCAATTAGAACAATATCAAATAAAAGAATAGGAGGATCTCTTAAATAAAATATTTGAAGAAATTAATAGTTTCTCTGAAGATCTTGATCAAATTCAAAGCTATGAAAATGAAACTTAAAATGAATACAAATAATTATTCGAAGGTTTGTTGAAAGAATTAATAAAGAAATTTGAGCGATTAACTGTGGTGCATATCAATTTAGAATAAATGTAAGATGAAAATTTTGAGCTATTTTTGGAAAAAATTAAATCTAATTTGTCTAAATCGGTAAATGAAGAAAATAATTAAAAATAAACAAATATTTCTGAGTTTTTCAATTCTTTAAAGTCTTATTTAAACAAAAAAATAACAGAACAAAAAGAACAAAGGTCAATTCCAAATTTTTTAATTGAGTAAGAATTTATGATTCAATAAATTAAAAAACTTTACATCCCAGATAGTTCAGTAGAATAAGATGAAATAAAAAATCAAGAATTGGGATACTTTGATTCTTTAAAACAAAAATTTTAAGATTTTAACAGCAATGACGAATGGAAAATTAAATAGGGACTGGTATTTACAATAATACAGGTTTCATCAAATTGTTTTACAGACAAGATTATTTCATTTTGTTAGAAAACTTTAATCTAATTATGGGTTTCGGAGAAAGATTTAAGAGTAAGAAATTTATTAAAAAATGAGAAGCTAATTAATGTATAAATGTAGATTTTGAAGAAGGATTGGTAGACATAGCATGATAGAATATCTGGCGAAATGTAATAAATGTTGATGAGAATAGATGAATTATAAGAATAAATTAGTCATGAGGCTAACCTCAGTAAACGTGATTTACAACTAAAAGAATTGGATGAAACAACCTAAGAATTGGATGAATATATAAGAAATATTAGTGAAATGAGTTAATAACTTAGATTGATAACTGACTTTGTTAATCATATAAGAAAAAGTTTATCAAAAGCCGAGGGGAAAATTAATCAAATGAAAGAGTAGCTCAATACTATAGGAAACGACATTAAATTGTTGAAAGGAAAATCTGTTGAATAACTGCTTGAAATCAGAAAATGGAAGGTACTGAAAGAAGCAGCATATAAAAATGTTAAATCCATCTATGTGCCATTAAAAACTTAAGAGAAAGGGAAAAATAAATAAAGTAATTTGATGAACTTAGATTAATTTGATGATAAAGGAGGTGAATTGAATGAGTTTTTATTAGAAGAAAAAACAGTTATGCTAATACACGGAATAGCTGGATCTGGCAAAAGTATAGCCTAAGTTCAATAGTTTTTGGATATGGAAGAATAACATAATTCCATATTTATGGTACATGAATGTTTAATTAACAATTAAATAATTAATGGTAAGAAAAAGGAGCAGATTTAAAATCTTCCAATATACTTGGATATTTTAGTAGCATTTACGCAAATGCCTTAGAAGTTTCAAAATAATGTTTAAAATAAAGCATTCCCACTTTACAACAGCCAAAAAAATAGAAGAATTTATTTGGAAATTACATGAGATTAATTAAAAAATCAAAAATCAAGTGCTCATACCAATTTATATTTCATTACCATCTTTAAAAAACCCAGTTTTTTAAGCAGTAGAGGAAACGCTTTGTTCGATTGATTATGGATTTGACTCTCTATAATTAAAAGAATGTAAATAAAAGTTAGAAAACAAGCAATTTAGGTTGTTATTGATAATGGACAGTTATGATGAGATGAAACTAGATAATATTTAAAAAAACCTTTACTTAAATAATGGGGTTTAATAAAATTGGTCAGACCCACTTGTAATTTTTACTACAAGAAGCGAAATTTTTACAAGCATTAATTATAGTGATTGGTTTACACCTGAAGAAAAAGCAAAATTTAAAGAAATTGAGCTTCTAAAATTTGATGAGGGATAAACAAAGGAATATCTAAAAAAATACACTATGCAAAGTATCAAATTACTGGTTTATGAAATATATGAATGGAAAATATCAATTGAAAAAAGAAACATAGATATCAATAAATTTGAATAGTGTTGGGAAAAATTATAGTAATCAATTTAGAAATTTGATGGATCCAAGTAGAAATCTCAGTTACTTTTGCATTAAAGATAAATAGAAATCATTTTATAATTTTTGGGCCAGGATGAATTTTTTGCTTTAAAGAGTAGGGAAGCAATCCGAAGTCTTGAAATTAATTTATCAAAATTATGGAGTATTGAGAAGTATGAAAATATGATGAACTAGATAAATTTAAATAAATTGGTAGAAACTCCATATATGATGGAAATAATAGTTTAAGTGTTGCCTTAAATAATGATTAAATAGGCTGAGATAAGTAAAATGAAAT